ATATATTCCATAAAATATAAAAATGACCACCTATAAAGTACCCCCCAGATGTTCCGAGTCTGCCCAAAATCTAATCAGCTCATTGGACGGTAAAACAAAGCTTAAGTTTAAAATTTGGTGTTTTTCTGTGTATCGGTTCATGAATTATGCTCACCCTGTATATATCTGACCGAAAGTCTAACTGGTTTTGAGTCAGAAAGGAACCTAATCTGTTTAAAAAATTTAAAGTTTTTCTCTAAAGCTGTTTTTAAGCTATCGTGCCAAAAGACCGAAGACAGACGTAAACCTGGACAATGACAAATAATATGAAAAATAAATTGACGATATGGGAAAGAAATCCTTCATTTCCCTCCTTTCTTCTTCTGTCTTGCTTCTCCTTCCTAAACCACTTCCAAAATACTAATCTTGCTATCCTAATAAATTAATAAATAATAAAACTAGAAAACTAATTAAACATTCTCCTTGGAATACTGAAAATATTATTTATATGCAAAAGCTTAGACATAGAGCCTTGCAAAAATTTCGCAATACACAACTTCCAATGCATTGGAATTACTATAAACAAAAAAACTACACAACAACAGCTATAAAAGCAAAAAAAAAAGAGCTTACATTTTAAATTTTAAATTTGTAATATTAAGGAAAATGGACAGAATTAAAAAAACTCAATATATAGAGATAAAAAAAATTGAGATACCTCCAAACGTAAAAGATGTTAATGCCATTAAAAAATTGTTTACTTTAAACATTAATAACTCTGCTATACAAATAGATTTACAACATTTTTACCTTAACAATTTTAAAGATAATATTACTGAAGATTTTTATTTTAATGATGTTTCGGAAGATGTTGTTAATAATATTATCTACAACATCAAATCTAAAGCTTATGGAATGGATGATATTGATATTACCATTTTACACTTTTGTTGTCCATTTTTATTACCCATTATTAACACATTATTAATGAATGTTTAAAAAATTCTTATTTTCCTCAATCATGGAAATTCTCTAAAGTTTTGCCCTTGCCAAAAGTAACTTTGCCTGAAGAATACAGTGATTTAAGATCAATTAGTATTTTACCTGTTTTCTCCAAACTATTAGAGAGGGTAATGGAAATTCAAATGAGAGGGTTTTTGAAAAACAACAATATATTACCTAGTGAACAATGTGGTGCTAGGTCAGGCTATAGCTGTGCTACAGCTCAAGCGGATGTTATAGATGAATTAATTAGGGCTATGGATAAAGACCAGATTTCTATCTGAACACTATTAGATTTCTCGAAAGCTTTCGATAATATAAATCATCAAATTTCCTGAATACTGCCATAATTCTAGGCAAAAAATGATTACCGTTTTACCCCTAGTAAAAAAAATCCATTTCATAAAGATCCTACTCATACACTGTAAAAATTTTTTATAATGTTCTTCCAAATTCGCTTATTGTTTGATTTGTACAGGGTGTCTAATTAAGCACTCGTAGCTGCTGTATCTCAGAAACTATTAATCCTACGGCTTCAAAAAAAAAATTATAACAAAAACGGTCAAGAGAAAATGCTGGAAATTATTTTGAACTTTCTATTTTAACCGTTACAGGGCGTAATTCGCTATGGTAATTCAATAAAATCACTTTTCCCCTATACATTTCTAATAATAGTATGATAATAATAATCGAACGGTAATTTTGATTAAATTTTACAAAAGTTTTATTCAACACTTTTTGCTCTATTCAATAAAATAACAGGTAGGGGCGATTGGGAACCTTAATTTAATAAATGTATTATAACTACGGTGTCGTTTATCAGATTTTGAAAAACTTTATATCGATTAAAAGAAAATTTATTGTTTAGTAAAATATTTCAAAATAGTTCTGATTCATTTGTTTAAAAGAGCACTAGGTGGCGTTGTTTAAGCAGTAACCATTTTTTTGAAGTTTTCTTGAAAAATTTAAATGGAATGTTATAATTTTTATACGTTATTTAGAAAGAGAATTAAATTCTGACAAGAAACCAAAAAAAACCGCGTCTTATTATCTTTTTCCTAACCGAATATAAGCAAAAGTCTATTAATGGTAAATAGTCCACTTAAATATTAATAAATAAAATTATTGATATTTTAATCTAGCCAACTTGATTAATATATCAATAAATTTATTTATTAATATTTAAGTGGACTATTCACCCTTAATAGACTTTTGCTTATATTCGGTTAGAAAAAAGATAAAAAGACGCGGTTTTTTGTTTCTTGTCAGAATTTAATTCTCTTTCTAAATAATGTATAGAAATGGTAACATTCCATTTAAATTTTTGAAGAAAACTTCAAAAAAATGGTTACTGCTTATACAACGCCACCTAGTGCTCTTTTAAACAACTGAATCAGAACTTTTTTAAAATATTTTACTAAACAATCAATTTGTTTTTAATCGATGCAAAGTTTTTTAAAATCTGATAAACGACACCGTAGTTATAATACATTTATTAAATTAAGGTTCCCAATCACCCCTACCTGTTATTTTATTGAATAGAGCAAAAAGTATTGAATAAAACTTTTGTAAAATTTAATCAAAATTATATACCGTTCGATTATTATTATCATACTATTATTAGACAATTATAGGGGAAAACTGATTTTTTTGAATTACCATAGCGAATTACGCCCTCTAACGGTTAAAATAGAGGGTCAAAATAATTTCCAGCATTTTCTCTTGACCGTTTTTGTTAAAAAATTTTTTTTTTCGAAGCCGTAGGATCAATAGTTTCTGAGATACAGCCGCTACGAGTCCTTAATCAGACACCTTGTACGTCAAAAATTATAAAAAGAACACTAGCATCAAAATACCTAAATCTTTTTTTGTTTTTTAAATAAAAAGTAAACGAAAAGTTTCAATGTTTTCTATTTCACTCCAACAATAAATGTTTTTTGTGCGGCAAATTCCAGACAGTGACTATCAAATACTAACGAAATCTGACTGACATTTATTGGACACTAATCCAACTGGAAATGGTTATTTTCTAAATAATTTAAATTTATATATGCAGACAATGCTGCGCAGCTCTAAATTTACATATTTCCCGAGTCTATATTATATACAGTATGTAAAACTTAGAATCAACGTGTTATAATATACAAAGTTTTGCCGCAAACAAATTAAATATATGTACAATTTTTTATAAACTTTAGTATTTTGTTCATGTAAATAAATGTTTTATCTTTAAATGATTAATAGAATTCTAGAAGATAACGTTGGGATATAATAAAAGCTGGATAAAAAATATAATAAATATTGGATATGATATCCAACTGTTTCTGTTATTTTAATAGAACATTAGATTGACCTAGTATGGATCTTGTTATGGTTTTCGCCACATATGTTTTTCTTTAAATTTATTAATAATTTTTTTTGTGTACAACAATAAAAATACTTTTAAACCAGTCACCTCAATTTCGAGATGACCTCGTAATTATAACTTTAAAATTTTTTTCAGTTTAATAAAAATAAATAAACGAACGTTTCATCTTCATTTAAAACCTTAAAACACCAGACATAGACTACCAGTATAACATATTTGGTAAATATGTGTTGCTTAACCTAGTAGTATTTAAATCAAAATGGCCGCGCCCCATCTTTGAGGTGTCAAATGTTTTACTTGCACAGTAATCGTAAATAAATCACGTTTACGTTCGGAATAAAGATTCCGACGTAACATGGCGCTAATTTAGGCCAGAAACAAAGGCCTTTTGTCAGCCCTCTGGCATATAGCCAACTAATTGACATAAAGTCAACCCTTTTTCCTCTCTAAATTTTCTTTTATACATCTCAATTTAATTACCTGGATGTGTTGATTGAGATGTAAGGTAAAGGCTTTTCATTTTCGCAGTTGGAAGCTGGCGGCTATAGCCTTTCCTATTCCTAACCCCTTCAGCCACACTGTATGGATCTTGGATCGGGTCTTAGAGATTGGATGAAAGAAATGGTGGTAGGTATCTTATTTAAAAGTAAAAATCATGTTAATAAATAACGCGTTTATTAAAATGTTTAATTTATTTGAAAGTTACTTATATTTAACTTATTTATGAAACAAACTATGAATTACTATTCAATTTTTATGAAATTTTTAGATATCACTATTAATAATACCTATTATTACAAATGTATTGTAAATAAAGTTTATTTATTTAAAAACACACTATTTACAATTTATTTCAAACGTACTATTTAATTTATATATTATTTAAACACTAACTAATAATAATTCTAATTTATTTCTTACACTTGAACTTTTCAATACAATGTTCTATATTAAACTAAACTCGGCGCTGATACGTCGGCTATTTATATTAGTCCAACTCCGCTACTGGAAAATGCTAGAGGCTCTCGACGGTCGTCTCAAACATTCCATTCCTATGACTAAACGGCAGTCACCGCCGTTCCAGCTGTTTCTCGAGCCTCAGCGGCATTCCCAGAACATTCCGTCGCCTCGAGCACGAGTCGGTTGCAATGTTAAGGTCGAGCGTACACAGGGTAGGCTTTAAGAATTTCATAACAGTATGACTAGCACCCTATTTACGATATTTAAAAAAAAAAAGATATACTGAAATACGAAATATCTTTAGAATATTTTTATTTGCAACTCACCCATAATATAATCTGTCTGTAATAGATAATACTTCAGTACTAAAGAGTAATCCCATTCTAATATTTACAGTTTTAGATTCTGCTATCCAAATAAAGCTACATTTTTAAATAGTTTTATTGCATGGTGTTCAATAATAAGAGGTGATCCACAAAAAATATTTTTAAGTAAACCTTAAAAAAAATTTACTAATAACAGAGTATACAATTTTTACTATTTTCTTTAACTGTCAGTTTAATGTAATTCAGAGCTGCGCGTAGTTACCACTCGTATATTTGTCTTTGTTGATCATTTCCTAGTTTAGAAATAATTTCTGTGAATCACTTTACAAATATTATGCAAATGTTAATAATAATTTTTTTCGTAGAAAAGTCGCCGATAAAGAAAAGGTCATTCTTCAGAAGAAAACAGTCGCCATCAGTACACAACGAAGCCAATATGGCGGGCAATGAATCGCCGCTGAAGGACCTTATACATCCGGCCTATAACGAGCCATTGAAATCCCATAATGCCGTCACTTTTAAGCTCATCCGTACCGGTAAGTTATTTTTTATTTCTTCATACAGTATATACAATATCAATACAAATTCATTATTATATTTCTGAACATCATTTGGTGAAAACAAACTAAAGAAAAAATGTATAAGCTCCTAGTTAGAATCGAATCCTAACCGCTAGACCATAGAAGTGTATGAACTTATCCAGTGATTTTGTTCAAATATTAATATTTTATAATTTTGGCCTACCACAGTTGATTGGGTCCAACCGTTCACCAGCCAATCAGTATTGTCTTCAATTAATTCTTAAAATATGAATTTTAAGGCTAAAGTAAATTTTAATTTGTTTCAATGAAAAATAAGGATATGAAACTTCTTGTTCCACAAATTTTTAAAAGTCATTTCATTAAGTATATAAATATATGGTTATAACATACTATCAACTAACAACTATTGTATTTTAACTAACTCTACAGTGTTCGGCTATTGAGGACTTTCCAATACGTTTTACTAATGTCAAAGTAAACTCTGTAGAGAGTTAGCATTAATGCGAACAGGAAACAAATAATATTTACGTTGTCGTGATATAAATAGACACATAATGACTAACTAACTGACTTACGTTGATATTAGTCGTTTTCTGCTGGCAATAATGCTAACTCTCCGTAGTTTTTACTTTGACATTAGCAAAGCATATTGGAAAGCGTTTAATAGTCGATATTGTATCTTACAATTAAATTTATTATGCTACATATGAATTATTTTAAAATGTTTGCCATATCGTTAAAACTAATACGGTAGAAGTAAACAGAGTCGACAAAATATACTAATTAAACTCGCAAAAAAGCTGGAATGCTGACAAGTCAAAAAATATATTTGCCACGTCCTTTTCTGCATATAAAGAGGTATAGACATGCTTCATTAAACTACAGGCAGCGGATTGTGCAAAAAGACCCTTTCGAAATCCATATTCCGCTCCTTCCTTTTTAGAAAAATCAACTAAAAAATTTTCCGCTACTTTATTTATAGAAACAAATTAGGTACTCTGCTGGCTTAACAACAGGCACTTAAATGTCATACAAAATCAAATACTGAAAATTATTTTCAACAAACAATGATTATATCCTACTACTCTACTATATAATGAAACAATATCTAATGTTAGAAGTTTATACATGAACACAATATGTTCTTACAGAACCTTTAGTTACTTGAATATTAAAAGATCTATGCCTAATAGTGAATCTTTCAAGAATTGTATAAATTACTTAGGATCAAAATGTTACGATGCTTTACCTCTTGAGATCAAAGTAATTAACAAATAACATTCATTTAATAAAGCGTGTAAATCCTTCATCTTCCAAAACTACTCAAAATTATATAGATTCTTCTTGTAATATGTTGAAACTCTCTAGATTACAAGATTATTATATTATTATAACATTATTACATATTATATATAATGTTACATTAGTACATTTAACATTTATTAAAAATACATTAACTTTACGTTTTATTTTTAGTCTTCAGTTGTCTTTGTCTGCCTAGCACATACAGGTGCCCACACGTAGGTGCTAACTTATTTACCTGTGATTAATTTATAATTTATCTATTGTTGTAATAAATCCTGTTATTATTGTAATAATAAAGAATTATTGAATGAAATTGAATTAAATTATATTCTTTATACAACTAACACTTGGATGTAATAGCTAGGTAATTAAGAGGTTACTAAAAAGTCAAATTCATACTATGAAAAGGAAGTAAATGCAGAAGTGTAAAGGATTAGTACGAAGGAAGAGAGTAACAAACCATACAATATTCTGAGAGAAGAGTTGTAAGTAGAATCAAATGAATTAGACATTTGGTTCAACTGGAATATCAAAGAATTGCTAAGATCACTGTCGAGATAAAGGTTTAGGCAAGATAAATAGAAAAGACCGACTTAAAATGACAATAATTTTTCTTAGGGTGAGTTGTACAACAGGCAGTTCACTGCACTAGCTCAATTTGCTTCTTCCTTTTGAGCCTTCTGTTGAGTGTAGAGTTGTCCAGTAATTGCAGCGCTTCTTCATTGAGGTGGGAGTGGAGTCGACCCTCATGTTTCTCAGCGGACCTTCTACGACTGTTGGCATCTTCAGGTTTCTATGAAGATAATCGTTTCAATAAAACCAAGGTGCATCAACGATGCATCTTAGGACTTTATTTTGGAAAACTTGTATCATGTTGATATTACTCTTGCTGACACATTCCCATAGCTGTATGTCATAAATCCAGATTGGTTTTGTGATTTGTTTATTCATCAGCTCACGCTCACAATTTGGATTTTCTTCCTAGGAGTCACTACATTTTTTTGAATTTAATTTCAAGCTCTTTACGCTTTTTTTATGTGCTCTTTCCATTTAAGTCTTACATCTAGTCTCATCCCTAGGTTTTTGGGCGAATCGTGATGCGAAATAACGTCATTGTTTATTCTTATTTGTTTCTGTTCATTTGGTCGGAGAGTGAAATCAACAAGCACTGATTTATTTTGTTTTGTTTTTATTTTCCACTTTTTTGTCCATCGGTTGATGGACAAAATGGTGTCGCCATCTATTCTTGTTTTTTTGAAGGGGAAACGGTCGTTGTATTTTATGTGATATTCTGGCTTTGAGCTAAATTCATTTTATTTCATTTTACATCTATCACATTTAAGTTTTGGTTTATTTTCGTTTACAAATTGCCCGCCTGGTACTTTTTGGTTCCACCTAGTTTTCTAATTGGGTACCACAGCGCATTTTGATTTTGCTTACTAAGAACAGATGGCGACACCATTTTCACTACTTGAATTTTTATTCTCTTCATAACCAACTTTATGGTATACTGGTGAAATGTGTAGCATTTGTTAATTCCATTAGAGACTGGAATTGAGAACCTATCTATTTCTTGCTGAGGAGTCCTAATAAGGACGAAACCGGTCCAAGAATGATGTTCTCCTTGGTGAGCAAAATCAAAGTAGAGAGTTTTGAAAATTAATTTCTATCTCTGCTGTTTTTCCTTCGGATGTAATTCAATGCCTGTTGTGGTATTAGCCAAAGGAGTAGTTGTTTTTTTGAAGGGGAAACAGTCGTTGTATTTTATGTGATATTCTGGTTTTGAGCTAAATTCATTTTATTTCATATATATTTATCTTCGTAAGCTTTTTGGATGATATCGGCTATCCTGTGTACTTACTTGATCTATTGTCGAGTGTTTGTTTTTAAAACCAAATTGGTGCGAAGAGATCATATTTTTATTTTCAATTATACGTTTTAGTTAATTTTTTAAATAACCTAGATATCATCGGTAACAATGATGACAGTTTATTCGGAGATTTTCCTGGCTTAGGAACTAGGATAACTTCAACAATTTTCCACGTATCAGGTATATATTTAAGGCAAAATGCTGCATTTATAAGGTATGTTAATTTAACAATAGCCTTTTTTTAATATTTATCCAGTAATAAGGCCATATTTTGGTGCTTTCTTTGAGTTGATGTTTCTCTGAATTTCTCTCGTAACTTCGTTGGGAGTAACTAGCCTAATTTTAAGTTGTTCCATATTATGGATCGTCTCGTTAGGAGTGTCTTGATTTTCATCTAATTGGAACGTCTTTTGTAGGTGGTTAGCAAAATTATCAGCTTTCTGTTGATTGTCTCTTGCCCATTTGTTATCTGCTATTCTGATAGGAGGACAGTGTATACACGAATTTTTCATCTTTTTAGTTGCCTTTCAGAGCGAATAATCAGTTTCTTTATCATCTGTTAGCCCTTTGTGATTTAGAATTTCTCTTCTCAGTCTTTGTGAAGCCCTATTTAATATATTTTTGTATTCTGGTGATCTTGTCATCTGCTATTTCTTTCTTAGTTTTCTTTTTGCTGCTACTGTTTCTTTTATGTCGGCAGGATAGTTTTTCCAGTTGTTAATCTTCTTACTTTTAGTGAAATTTCAAAGTTTAGTTATATAGATGCGATAATTACATTTACTACCACATTAAAATTTAATTTTCATTTTCAACTAACAGGCAAAAAAAGTCGTTCAATTAGAAATGTATCACGCTGTGTATATATTAAGAGAAATAAATTAAGTAAGGGTGTGTCAATATCGGTGATAGACGTGTGATAGATCAATTATGAACTGTCAAACGCATGTTCGATGACTGATTTCGCAAACAACGCGTAGAGATTTTTATTATTGGATATTTCGAACAGTTTGGATATTTTGAGTAATGATTTGCATGATTATACATACAGTATGTCCAAAATTTAAATCTCTATGTTTGTATATATATGTATGTACATTTTTTAATGTAGAATATTTTTCTAATTACCTATGGTCACCTTATTTTTTATTATGAAGGCTATCCTGAACTTTTACATAATATTTCCTTCTAGAGAAATCAAAATTTGATATTCAACTGCTCAAATATGGCGATTTTTACTAACGAAAATAAAATTTCCAAATCAGTACTATACAAAAATGTTTACTAATTAAGGGAAAATTTTAAAATCAATATTAAAATGCCCATTAACTAACGAAACCATTTAATCCATAAAATCTTGGTCCCATTAAATAATGGACCTAATATTTATTATGAAATCAGCCCTTGATAAAATTGTACTTAAATTTCATGTTTAAGTATGGAGCAGGGAGCAAAGATCAACCAAGAGATTTATGAAATATAAAGTGTTCAATAAGTTTGGATTAAAAATTGTTTTATTAATCCTTGATTCTACGCCAATGGGTTATCGAAATTTATCAAAATTATATTTGACTTTTCTTATTAGTTACTTAAGATCTATACTTTATTAGATATTTCTTCTCATGCTACATTTTTTCTACTTCAGTTAAAAAATACAACGACTTTCATTTATAAAAAATGCAGAAATCTCTTTATCCTATCAAGAATCCTTTTTGTTTTTCGTGAACACGCAATAACGGCTAATACTTTACAGAATCCACTGAAACAATGGATTAGGCGGGGATTAAGAAAACATTTTATGTTCTTTCGAAGCTACTAAGTC